CCTCTTCATCTTCTTCCTCTTCCTCTTCATATTCATCTTCTTCATCTTCATCTTCATCTTTTTCTTCTTCTTCATCTTCATTACTGATATTATTATAGCAATGTCATTTTTCTTATTGTTTTGTTATGATTTTGATTATAATCAATATTGTTGCTACTGATAATTACTATTATCATCATAATAGATGCTGTTCTTATTGATAATTACCGTAGCGGTAGTTTTCAATATTATAATATATCCAAAACTGGCAACTTCTGTAGCCGTTTAGCGTTTATATCCCAAACTTTGGCAACTTCTGTAGGCGTTATTTCTTTATTTGTTTATATATTTGACTAATTTGTTTTGAGATGCCAAAGTCTTGCCTCTTTAATTACACCCAAGGAAGATCTGTTAGCTGGGAATGCCCCCCCCCCCCAGAGCAGCCCTCCCTAAAGATTGAAATTAATAATGATAAAAAGTACAATTAAGAAGAGATAGATGGGATTGGTTGTGCCCCTCCTCCCCTTCTGTGGCCTTTTTGTACCAGTACAGAGGTGTGGGAAGGGGGGTCTGATCTCTCCCCCACCCCCTCCTGTTCCGTTCCCCTCTCGTGTCCCCCCCCCCTCTCACCAAACAACCCCATAGCAAGTACCTCCTGGCTGTTTCTGACGGGCGCCGTGAGCTGCTTCCCCTCTATCCTTTGCAGGCTCTGTTCAAAGAGAGGTATGAGAAAATGTCCGTGGAGAACCAGCAAGCCTGCAGACTCAGGTTCCAAAAGCTGAGAGAGAGGCTTCTGGTAAGTACCGCAGAGAGGGTCCAGTCTGCATCCATCCATCTCGCCATCTCCCCCATCCATCTAGACATCTTTCCATCTATTCAGCATCCAGCACACAGCACCTCACCTCCATCCCCCTGTCCCCCTTCCCTTCGGTTCAAATCCTTTCAGGAGAAGCGAGGCAAGGTGAGGTGAGGTGGGCGTGCAGGTTTGGGGTCGGAGCACGGAAGAGAAAAACCCAGCAGCTAAGTGGGAATTTTGTGCTCTCAAAGTGTCAGGTTGTTCATTAATATTTATTGTTATTATTATTATTCTTTTCATTTTGGGAATAGAAAGTAAATGTATTAAATTTTATCCTATGTTTGTAATTAGTAATTGAAAATCACTAACATATATCATTAGGTCCCATTTTTTGAATGATAGGGCTAATTCTAGGCAGAGATCTCATGATATGAATATGATGTAGAAGATCAATGACATTGATATAAGTTCGATAATTTTCTTAAAAACTTAAAAAAGTTTATGAGTTGTAAGATAAAAGACCCTGATGCTTTGAGAGCTTTTTTGTGTAAGCATTCCAGGTTATTGAGGAAATACTTGTTGAATCTCAGAATTGATTTAAAAGAAAAGAGAGAAAAAAAAAAGTACATAAGGAGAGAGATGTTTAACTTTTTATAGTGTATTGATGAGATTCAGCAGTGTTAAGCTCAAGTTCGGCAGTCACCCAAATTATGGTGTGTTTTTTTTGTTTTTGTTTTCTGGAAGAAGAGAAAAGAAAAGAAAAAGATGTGATACAAATTGACTCTTGCAGAGACGGGAAATACGAGCTGGAAGAAGGCGAATCAGGGACCGCAAGCCAGGCTTTAGCATTGTCTCGTCAGTGAACGATAAAGTCTCAAGATTTCTACAGGTGAGAGATAAAGTGTGTGCATGTGCGTGTGTGTGAATGTAAATGTGTGTGTGCGTGTGTGTGTGTGTGTGTGCGCGTGTGCGCGCGCGTGTGTGTGTGTCTGTGTGTCTGTGTGTGTGTGTGCGTGCGTGTGCGCGTGCACATGTGCGTGTATGTGTGTGAGTGTGTGAGAGAGAGAGTGTGTGTGTGTGTGTGTGTGTGTGTGTGTGTGTGTGTGTGTGTGTGTGTGTGTGTGTGTGTGTGTGTGTGTGTGTGTGTGTGTGTGTGTGCGCGCGTGTGTGTGTGCGTGTGCGTGTGCGTGTGCGTGTGCGTGTGCGTGTGTGTGTGCGTGTGCGTGTGTGTGTGTGTGTATGTGTGAGAGTGTGTCTGTGTATTTCTTTGTTTATTTGGTTTTGAACAAGTGATGCCTTATAGTAAGCAGTTGCCTAATTGTTTATAGAATTTTTTCAGGCAATGCAATTATTATTTTGCCTTCCTTTTAGCCATTGTATTGGTAACCTCTTGAACAGAAGTATCCCTCCAAAAAGGTATTAATGAAATTAAGATGAATCTAGAAACAATGTCTGGAATAAGATGCTGATTTGCCAGCCTGAGGTCAAAGGTCACCCAGGACACCTAGGACTGACCTGGCATCTGCTGGATGGACATGCCTAGGAAATGAGGGGGTGCGTTTCCAAAAGGGGTTTCAGACCATTTGCATTCACTAGATATTTTGTTGAATTTAGCTTTCATTTATAACATAGATTTTGGTATCTCACTTTGATGCACGACAGTCATGAGGTGGAGTGCATTAAGGTGAATTTGTCAGTGTCATGAATGGAAGTGTAAATTGACAAAGCATTTAACCCATTGGATCCGGATGCTTCATTGCCAGAATATAGGCATTAGGCTTACTTGAGCGGCCTCTCTGCCAGGTGTGCGACTTGCAGGCCATATGCTCACAAACACTTGTGTGTGGTGACAAGACCCCACGCCTCCCCCTTGCAATGTGATTTGCTCTTTCTCTGCATATGCATTTTTAGCTTTTCTTGCCCTTTCCTTAGTCAATATTTGTCATTTGATTAAATCAATTTGCTTTTATCCAAATGGTAATAGACTGTTTTCCTTACACAGACTCCATATCATCTTGCTAGGTAATCCATAACTCAGTATAATAATAATAACAATAAAGAACACTTTCTTATTTTTGTAATTAATTTTTCTGTAATTCATCCTTCCTGGAGCTGGAGCTCTTCCAGTTATGGCTTACAGATGGTACATTCCATTCTTGTTTAATAATGGACATAATGCAAAAGGCCCTTCCTAATGCCCATTGAGTCTAATCATCATCCAAAAGCTTTGTGTCTCCAGCCAAAAGTCTCGTGACAGCAAGTTCCCTTCGCCCGGCCCTCAGCCAGATGTTCCCATGATGGTATGTTCATGTTACCTGACCTCAAAGCCCAATTTTTTCACAACCTGATGGTCATGTCATCTGGATCTTAGAGGTAATAAATGCATAGTTGGATAGTCGCATACAAGAGGTTAATATTACAATATTTTGTCAACTCTATCTGCTTTATCTGTCAGTCTCATTTATTGTCATAGTATTCTTTGTCCTTTTTTTTCTCTTTTTTCTTTCTTCTTCTTCTTCCATCTCTCTATCCTTTTTTTCATCTACCGTCTTTCTTTCTCCTCTTCTCTTCCAAATACATCAACCTAAAACTTAATGTTCATTCTCTCCTTCTTTTCCCTCCCTTTTCCCCTCCACTACCTCCCCCTTACCACCTCTCTACCCCCTTCCTCTCTCTCCTCTCTCCTCTCCCCTCTCCCCTCTCCCCATGCTCCTCCCCCCTCTCTCCACCCTCACTTCTCACCTCTCCCTGCCCCCTTGTATCCCCTTCCCCATCTCTCAACCCTCTACCTGTCCCCCTCTCCCCACCTACTTCCCACCCTGAACGATACCTTTTCCTCCTTTCCCCACCCGACCCCACATCCTTCATCCCCTCCGCCTGCTTCCCCTCGACCCCCTTCCTCCCACCACCGCCCTGTTCCGCACCGCCCGCCCCTCCCAGGACCCCACCCAGTCGGAGCTCCGTCTGCGTCCCATGACGGACAAGGACCGCGACCAGCTCAATCACCTGGCCGATCTGTACTCCCTGACGGTGCGGGGCGGAGACAACCACTCGGCTCCCATACTCACCAAGACAAGGTGTGTGGTCCAGCATAGGAATAGGCCGGGGTAAATATTTTGCTTTTTCCTCACCTGTGTTTTTTTTTTCCATTCATTCTTTTTCTTTTCATTTTGACGAATCTTTTGAACTCCCGTTGACACTTTTTTTTTTTTTTTTGTTCCCTTTTGGGGTTCAGAGACAAAGTTACTTCCTCTCTTTTTGGTTATTTCTTGTTTTGTATTGATATATTTATTGTTACTTTTATTATCATTATCATCATCATCATTATCATCATTATTATCATTATTAATTATTATTTATCATTATTTGTTATTTTTTATCAGTATTACTTTTGCTATCAACATCACTATTGCTATCACTATGATTATGATTGTTATTATTATTATTATTATTATTATTATTATTATTATTATTATTATTATTATTATTATTATTATTATTATTATCATTATTACTATTATTATTATTATTATTATTATTATTATTATTATTATTATTATTATTATTATTATTATTATTATTTTAATTTTTATAATAATGATAATCATAATAATCATAATAAAAATAATAGTAATAATGATAATAATAATAATATTAATTATCATTATTATTATTATTATTATTATTATTATTATTATTATTATTATTATTATTATTATTATTATTATTATTATTATTATTATTATTGTTATTATTATTATTGTTGTTATTGTTAATATTGTTATTAACCCCAATTTCCCAGCAGCATTGAGTTGATATTGTTATTATTGTTATTATTGTCATTGTCATTGTCATCTTCATCTTTATCTTCATTTATAATTGTTATTGTTAAGGTAATTGTAATTGTTAATGTAATTATTATTATCTTTTATTGTTGCTAACATTACTCTTATTGTTACTATTATTATCATTATCGTTATTCTTATTCTTATTCTTATATTTGTTATTCTTATTCTAATTATTATTTTTATGATCATGATTATAATAATAATAATAATTATTATTATTATTATTATTATTATTGTTATTATTATTATTATTATTATTATTATTATTATTATTATTATTATTATTATTATTATTATTATTATTATTATTGTTATTATTGCTATTATTATTATTGTTATTATTATTATTGTTATTATTATTATTGTTATTATTATTATTATTATTATTGTTATTATTATTATTATTATTATTATTATTATTATTATTATTATTATTATTATTATTATTATTATTATTATTATTATTATTATTATAATTATTATAATTATTATAATTATAATTATTATAATTATTATAATTATTATAATTATTATAATTATTATAATTATTATAATTATAATTATAATAATAATAATAATAATAATAATAATAATAATAATAATTATTATTATTATTATTATTATTATTATTATTATTATTATTATTATTATTATTGTTATTGTTATTGTTATTGTTATTGTTATTGTTATTGTTATTGTTATTGTTATTGTTATTGTTATTGTTATTGTTATTATTATTATTATTATTATTATTGTTATTGTTATTGTTATTATTAATATTATTATTATTATTGTTATTACTTTTATTATTGTTATTGTTAGTGTTATGTTATTGTTATTGTTATTATTGTTTTTATTATTGCAGCTGGTATCATCATCATTGTTATTATTATTATTGTTATTGATATTGGTATAGTTGTTTGTATTATAATAATTAAATTTTGTGTAATTATGATTTAGAGTTTTAAGTTTTTATGTGATCTTGTTACCAGGTCTTTTTCATGCATCCACACACGCACACACATGCACGCACACACACCCGCACGCACACGCACATGCACACGCACACGCACACGCACACGCACACGCACACGCACACTTACTCGCACACACACACACATATATATATAAACTATGTCATGTCTGAGAAAAATATTTCTGCCATCATCAGTAGAATATGAACATGGCCACAAAATGGATTCCATGGATGCCTTTTTTCTGATATTTCTGTGGTGTTCAGCGGGATAATTTTAGAGGAATGAGATGTATTGGGATCATATTTGCACAGTCCTTTATTATCTGTTATGTTTTACATATTATTTATTATTATTTATTATTCATTCCATTGTATCTGCCATCTGTGAGACTTGTTCATGGGCGATGTCCCTGTAGATAAGGGAATCAGGTAGGGAGATGTGATGTAGCTGCTTCAGACTTACCGTAGGAGCTTGAAAGTATGGGGAATGACCGTAAGAATTTCTGTCATTTCTGTGAACGGCCAAGGAGAAGGATGCTTACCACAATGACCTGCGATGTTGCTCTCTCTCATGCAATGTTGCTGCTTCTTGACTGCTGACTGATTTTTACTTTTATTTTTCATCCCCCTCTGTAGCTAATTTTGTTGTGCAGAAGTGCCTTGCTTTTCCCCCACGTGCAAGAATTTGTATGTAGGCTAGAGTTACCTCCATGTATTTAAGGTATTCTTTTGGGCTGGTGTTGATATATGTAGTGTCTAGCATTTGTGGGAGAGTAAGAGCTGTATGATGATTTTCTATTCATAGCAGGTCACCCTATTCTGTTCTTTAATTATAGACAAGCTACTTTTTTCTGTTGGTTTGAAATCATGGTCTTCTTTATCCAGTGAAGCATTAATTAGGCTTTCGTCAGTGAAAAAATGTGATTAGCCGTCCTCTAAGAATTTTATGTGACTTGCATATTGATGTCCAGTTATGTCATTAACCTAATGAGTGGAGACATTAAGACTCTTTGTGACATAGATGCCCAGCGCTTCCCAAACTTTGGAACACACACCCGGGGGGCTGCAGTTTGTGATGGTTGCAGGTGTGTGAGAAAAGGTCTTCATTTTCTTCTTGACAGTGTCAGACATTCATTAACTATATCTTGAGTGTAACCAGTCATTACTACAAGACAATGAGTAGCTTTTGAGTAAATGTAAGATGGCAACATGTGTTTAGATGCTATGTAATTTGCTGTTTCTTGTTTAGATCTAATTTGGATATCTCTACCATGATTTGGATATCTCTACTATTTTTTAAGCTGTGTCATATTATCACATATTTTTAACTTGATGTACATAGGTCCAAGGAAAAGGGGTGCACCAGGGAAGATTCTAGAGCTGTTTTTTTTTTCTTTTATCATGTGAGGATGAGGGCAGACAACGCAAGCTTTTACAGCTGAATGGTGTGGAACATGCTGCAAGCCCTCTGGGAAATATGTAGTTTCTGTACCAGCAGGTTCATGGGGGCCTGTACCACGTGAGGTATTGTTTTCACATGTGTAGGCTTATGTATACACCAGTGTGCTTCAGGAAGATTGTGATATTACAAAGTATTTTTGGTGAGCTCTTTAAACATGTTCTTTCAGTGTGTGTGAAGAGTTGACTTAGAATATATAGATTCACATGTTATTGTGATGCAAGCCATTATTCAATTAAACAGCCAATGTTATGATTATGCAATGAAAAAAATTCTAGTACATTTGCTAGAAGAGACATTACAACTATTATTTACAGCAAAGTGTGTATGAATTAACAAAATTAAATATGCTTCACCTGATCAGCACCTCAGCCTCCACCTTTGGTCTGTCTCCAATTAATCAGCATATATTGTACAATTCAGCAGACTAGACTGTATCATTTCTATAAACTCTGCCCCAAGACTCCGCACGTTCATCCAAGTGGCATTTTTCATTTGTACCGTTTTTTTTGCTCATTTTTGAGAGTCTCATACTTATCAACTTTTCATGCACAAAACTTACACTTAATAAACATCATAACACCACTTTGTGTGCAGGGTACACCTGTACACTTGGCAACAGGCGGAGTGGGACGTTCCGCTTGCTGTAGCAGACTTCCACACCTAGTGTCTGGCTGTTGCCAGAAATCACCCGAGTTTATCATGCTCAGGGATTTCTGTTACTCGGCAGTGATGGGTTAATCCACTGAGATTTTAAGAATTCATCACACTAATGCTTTTCAGTTAATATTTTATAATTCTGCTTATATTTGAGGCTTTCTTCATGCATGTGATGCATATGGAAAGCAATAAGTTCATCCAAAAATGTAAGAATTGACATGGAAAGTGTGATAGGGCCTTTGACTTATAGCTACAGATTACATGGGGTTCACTTTGTGGCTGACTTGGTCATGGCTCCAGGTGATGTGTTATTTATGTTACAGCCAACCTGGATTCAGCTCTGGCCAACGGGTCATTCCTGTGATGTTATGATGATGCATGCCTTACATTTGATGCTATTTAGAAGAGCCCTCATGCTCACACCCAGGCCTGGGGCATGAGGGTGTGGATGTGTAATGCTATGATTGGTTATTATTTTTGTATAAAAGGAAAATTTTTGCACATAAACCGTTCACCTGCCAAAAATCATAGAATAAATAAAGTCAGTTTCTGCATACAAGTAATTTTAAAAATTGTTAAGCACTGGCTGCGTCTGAAAAGGGCCTCAGTGGCAAGCCTGTTGGCTGCGCACGTGACTGGAGTAGAGGTCAAGTAAAGCCCATATTCTCCCAGAGGCAGTGAGTTAAAGAATGAACAGAATTGAGTGAGGGACAAAATCGCCAGGTCAGGTTAATATAACGAGTGGAATATGACTGAGATACAGCTTAGTAAGCATACCGTCACGCAGGATCAGGGCCGACGTGTGGAAGAAAATGGTAGTGGCTGGAGGAGGGGTATTCTTGGCCTCAGTCATTCCCCGGATGGTTGCAAGGGACTGCCAAAGTTTGGGAACCGCTGGTGTTGATCATAATTATGTACATTTATTAGTGTTATTGATTCTGTTGTATTTGTGTTTCCCTTCATTCATAGAATTTGTTTGTTTTAAAGGACTGCTTATTGATATCTGAAAGGTAGTTACAATGTAAGTGCATGTGTGTGAGTGCTCTGATATCTAATAAATGCTTCAATGTATATATCTGTTTTTTAGAAAAAAATTCTCAGTGTGAGAACTTTAAAGAATATCATGTATGTATAGGCATGCATGTGCTGTGTTTAGTTATCCAGCCTTAGCTTAGCAGAAATTTCTCTTTCTTCTTTGTTCAGGACATTCAATATGTTTTGATGAGATGCCCAAGTGATGTTCCCAGGAATTCCTTTAGCAGCAAATTGGAGAACTACTGCTGGACAAAACTATAAGGGAATATAGTATAATGTGTACAAAAAGTGCATTGGTTATGCAGTTTCCACTGGTCCTTTGCATTTCAGTAAATAATACTAAGGGGGAAAATTAAACAAATAGACAAATATGAAATGTCCGAAAGATATGTATAAAGATACATAAAAAAGTACCTTTAAAAGTGTGAATTGTGCTATCCTTCAAAAAAAAAAAAAGGAACATTAACTCTATTTGCCTCAGAATGATCAGAATAACAGTCTTGCTTGTTTCACTCCCGAGCCCTGGTGACAGAGCATGCTTTGTTTTTGTTCTCCCTGGAGGCATTAGGCCATAGAAGATGAAGCAAGAGAGACCCTCCCCCTCCCCCCCTCTGCCCTCACCCAATCCTCATCAGCTGTTACATGAATGCATTTGTTCCCAGAAACACAATTACGAAGCAGAGGCTGGAGGTGGACAGCGAGGTGATGGCGTGCGAAGGAGCCTTCCCGGGGGGCTTGCCGGTGCCCCTGAGTGACATGAAGAGACGCCGCCGCACCCCTCCCCCTCCCCCCAACAACCTGACAGAGGGCAGCAACGACTCTGTTGAGAGCGTCTTCAACAGCGCCGGAATTTCGGGTGAGGAAGGATGCTCAGTCCGTTGCTGACTCTGATGAGGCTATTCCTCTCTCTGTCTCCTGTCTTTTCTCTTTTCTCTTCCATTTCCTTGGCTTTTCTCTTTATTTTAAAATTCTCTGGGCTTTTCTCGTTTCTCCTCTATTTTCTTGGCTTTTCTCTTTTCTTTTAAATTTTCTTGGATTTTCTCTATTCTCTTCCATTTTCTTGTCTTTTCTTCTTTCTCTTCCATTTTCTTGGCTTTTCTCCTTTCTCTTCCATTTTCTTGCCTTTTCTCTTTCCTCTTCAGTTGCCTTGGCTTTTTTCTTTTCTTTTTTATTTTCTTGCCTTTTCTCTTTTCTCGTTAATTTTATTGTTTTTTCTCTCCTCTCTTTTTCCTCTTCCATTTCCTTAG